TACTAAAATGGATAACGAATCAAGACATCGTTGCTGTAATAGGTTACCGACTTGGGACTTGATCCGTTGAAGGAGATCAACAAGAGCTATAAAAGTAAATTGAATTGTTCTCCGAGCTAAAGTTCTATGCTGTATGAAACGATAGCCACTTGTTTTGATCGCTTTTTATACTTTAACATTTATTTTAAGACTTTACAGACTTTCATTTTTTTAACGCAGTTCATTAAATCAAAATTTTATTACGTATTTTTTGAACGACGAGTAGTATTGTATTTTAGCCTTATGTGAAAATAGCCGAGTTAATGTAACATAATATTATTTTTCTTTAAGTGCCGAATGTGTCGTATAAAATAAAATAAAATAAAATAAAATAGAATAAAATAAATTTATATATTATGGATTAAAAGTACCACTTGTATCGAAAGTCATTTATACATTTTGTTGAACCAAAAATCATAATCTTATTTATTGTTTATGAAAACGTTTTAATCCGCCGTCATTAGATGGTGCCTGAAGTATACAGCGCGCTGGCATAGTGTTCTTGTAATTGAATATAGGGTCCGCTTCGATTTAGTAAAGATTCAGCGGCTACCTGCCGTCGGCACCCCCCTTTCTCGCAAGGGGGTCGCGTTCGATACGGCTTAGAAGATCTTTCGTCAGATCATTGAGCCAATTTCAAAAGGTGGTCTTTAGGGGGTAAAAGTCTCCACATAACCACGTAGCTGGCTGCGGGGTATACTATGAACATTCATCATCTCCCTACCACGTTTACCGGAGGGTAGTCCTTATTTGCTTTGGGTGCAAAAAAAAATAATAAAGACGATGTTCTCATATCACACTCCTTTATTTACATAATCGCGAGTGCAAGTATCGAGATCTTGGAGGAATTTGTGCATGGTGCTTCAAAGTCGGATCTAAGTACACCATCCGTCTTAACGCGTAACTCGCACTAGAAACCAGAGGTGGATCACCTCTGAAGGTGTGCGCTGGTAAACGACTCCGCTAGGTCGTATTACTAGTTGGTTAAGTGTGGTGAAGTGCCAGAAGCAAGCACGAGGTCTGCAGCTACCAACCGAGGAGCAACAGCGACGGAAGGCAGAGACATCCAAGACAGTCGGCAACAGGATGTGATGTCACCATAACATCCAATTGGGGAAGCACAGCGGTGACGTAGTCATCGATGTCACGATCTACGACCAGTGACGACTAGTGATGTCACGAATTGAAGACTACAGCGAAGGTGATCAAATGCGAAACTAAAGTGGAATTAATGGTTTGAAGAAAAACTGTGAGTACTATTTTGTGTTTTGATATAAGTCCAACAAGTTGAAAACTCAAAATCCGTATTAAGAAAATTTGGACTTAGATATTTTTAAGAATTTTAACTTGCATAGTAATAAAAGTAGACTTGTAAACTTTTGCATGTTAAAATATTGACTTAGAATAGTTTTGATAAAAGGGAACGAACGGGGAACCTATGCCGGATTTGTCCGAATATACTCAGTGACAAACATTTTTGAAATTTATTGTGGACTTAAAGATAGTAAAAAAATTTCGTTCCATTAGCTTCCATTAGTACAATATTTTTAAATATAGTTAGATTTTTAACTTTTATCTTAGACTTAGAAAAATTTCATTTATTTTATATTTTTAAAATTTTCTTTTATTTAGAAACAATGAAATTACATAATTGCATCTTTAAATAAAAATCAGCTTGATTCAAAGGCATTATAGAAAAGACATGAAAATTTTAAGAAGTCTCCTAAAGACAGATTAGTTAAGGAATCACTTACAAACTAGTTTAGAAACGCTGGAAGCTTGATGGAACATAGCTAATGATATACATAGAAAATTGAATTCTGTTAGATTAGGGCTCACAGGCATCATTTGTGACAGAATCTATAGTACAAATGCTAGGGTTGAGAAAAATACCTCAACGAAGTGACGTGTCTGAACTAGTTGGATATAGGAGCATTTTGGTCTCTAAATCTGTGGTCAAAATAAGCATTCAATCTTGTCATGATCCCAATTTTCATCTATTAGTATAAGTTCATGTACTAGGGGCTATAACCAGCCTCTTTCCATTGAAGAAAATAACGCCAATCGATTGGCCGGAGTTGGCTGATATTACTCTAGCTGATCCACAATTTAATAAGCCAAAAAACATACACATTCTGCTAAGGGCTGATGTCTACGGACAGGTGATAAGAGATGGCTTATTCAGAGGTCCTAATGGCACACCAACAGCTCAAAACACTGCCTTGGGATGGATTATTTCAGGTCCTACACACCAGCAGCTCAGTGTAAATCAAATTTCATCCACACACTGTTATCATAACAAGATAATAAACATGCACTCTTACATAGAAGACAATGAGTTGCTTAAAAATTTTGGCAACTGGAATCTGATTCATTTAATGACAAAATACTGTCACAAGAAGTTACATTGTGAGGAATTTTATGAACAAACAAGACAAAGAGACCCAACCGGGAGGTAGGGAGGTATGTCGTAATACTTCATATCCGAGGTGAGGATCCACTATGTAAATATTTTCCATATTTACGTTGTGGATCCTCACCTCGGAGAAATCGCTCTTAAAAGATTCCATCTGCTTGAACAGCGATTCAACAAAAATCCTGTGTCAAATTCCAGATATACTGAAGTAATTCATGAATATTTAAATCTTGGACACATGAAATGTGTACCTGACGATGACTATAATAAAGGTGATTCTATTTATTTACCTCATCATGCAGTGATACGCGAAGATAAATCGAAAACGATACCTTAATGGTCGGGCCAACACTTCACTAAGACTTCGTGGTATTTTCATGTGCAAGTGGCGTATGAACCCCATCTGCCTAAGTGCAGACGTTATTAAAATATACCACCAGGAACGCGTTGCCAAATAAGATGCAGTATACCAAAGACTTATTTGGAGAGACGATCCAGGGTCTGAAATCAAGGAATATGTATTAGACAGAGTTACCTTTGCTTCGGCTCCTTACCTCGCAGTGAAGACTCTGCAACAGCTCGTAGTAAATGACGGGGCGCAGTATTCTGATGTGGTTGAAAAAATAAAAACAGATTATTACGTTGATGATTTAATGACAGAATGTCAGACAGTAGAAGAAGGAAAAGGGATATTTGAGAATGTGAATAGGTTGTTGAGTAGAACAGGCTTTGAGTTGCAAAAGTGGATAACCAAAAATAAGAAATTGGCAGCAATAATTGATAAACAGAAAATCTGGAGGAAAAGAGAGATAATCTATTCATTAGGCTTTTAATGGCTTCTGTGACTTTATCTACGGTCACAGGATCGAGTCGTTTGCCCGCTGGTAGCAACGCAGGCCTACGTTCTACTTACGCTTCTACCTCTAGGGTGAGTGGGAACTGTTTGTACGGTGGATGTGTGCACTGGTAGGGTAGGGCGGGGCTTAAAGGTCCGCGGGTATAAAGGTCCACCATAAGTATCTAAAAAACTAGCGGTATATCGTGCGTTCTAACTATGTACGCGGAATGAAGAGAGCGCGGGAGGCATAACGGGGCATCGCCGGCAGTCGAGCAGCGTCGCTAGCCGGAGATATACGACTACATCTAAAAATTTTAACGTAAGTAAAATTTTTCATCATTTTACTTTTTAGTTTCGAGCAGTGGTTTTTCGTTTATCACACCTAAACATAATTTATTAGTATAAGTGATTTATTTGTTTTTCACGATTTATTATTAGTTTTAGGCTCGGTTTAACGGTTATTTCGTTATAACCTCTAAAAATATTTACACGTGGTTGGGGCAAAAAGGTCCAATGTGGACCTTTTAGCCCCTCATTAATATGTGGGTTAATAAAGACTTTTTTTGTTTCAGTATGCGCAACTATAAAAGAAAATCGGATTGTGGTACTAAATCTGTTGAGTTGATGCAACGGGCAGCAGATTTAGTTATCAATGAAAATAAATCATTGAGGCAGGTATGTCGTGACTATGAATTAAGTAAAACTTCATTGTCAAGATTTATTAAGCGAATGAAGAATGACCCTGTTAACTTGAGATTTGGCTATGGTTCTCCACGGCAGATATTTAATAAAGAACAAGAAGCCAGTCTCACAGAATACTTGCTCAAACTTGCACAAATTTTTCACGGCATAGGTCCTAAAGAAGTTCGTCGCATGGCTTATGACTGTGCCATTAAATATAAAATAAGTGTACCGTCAACATGGCATACAAATAAAATGGCCGGTAGAGATTGGATGTCTGCCTTTCTCAAACGTAATACAAGTCTTTCCATAAGAAAACCTGAAGCGACTAGCCTCAGCAGAGCTACGTCTTTCAATAAGTCTAATGTGCAAGAGTTTTACACTAAATTAGCTGACGTTGTGGATCGATTCAAATTTACAGCTTCTTCCATATGGAATGCGGATGAAACTGGTGTATCCACCGTCACCAAACCATCAAAAATAGTTGCTGCTAAAGGAAAGCGAAATGTTGGATCAATAACATCCGGTGAACGTGGAACTAATGTAACCTTGTTAGTAGCGGTTTCTGCTACAGGTTCATCAGTTCCACCTATGTTCATCTTCCCTCGCAAAAAGTTTCAAGATCATTTCATTCGGGACGGTCCTACTGATTGCATTGGTGCTGGGAATTCTAGCGGTTGGATCACTAATGACGAGTTTTTCCTATTTATGCAGCATTTTATCAAGCACGTTAGACCTTCTAAAGAATTTCCTATTCTGTTGGTTTTAGACAACCATTCTTCGCACTTATCTGTACCAACACTAGATTTAGCTAAAGAAAATGGAGTGGTCATGCTCTCTTTCCCTCCACACTGTTCTCACAAATTACAGCCACTTGACGTGTCGGTATATGGCCCTTTTAAAAGATATCTGTCTTCAGCTCAAGATGCTTGGATGCGAAATAACGCTGGAAAAACCATGACCATATACGATATCCCTGGGATCGTCCGCACTTCTTTACCTTTAGCTTTGACACCGAGTAACATAATGAGTGGATTCGAAAAAACTGGCATATTTCCCTTCAACCAACATAAATTTAATGACGCTGATTTTGCATCTAGTTACGTAACGGACCGTCCTATGGAAACTGTTAGTAATGAGCCACAGCCTTCGACATCGTCCACTCCTCCGCCAACAATATTGTCTAATCCACAACCTTCAACACCGTTAGATCCGCAGCCATCAACATCATATGATGCACAGATATCAACATCAGTTGATCCACACGAATGTTTTTCCCCCGAAATCGTGCGACCACTACCTAAAGCCGGACCACGAAAGTCAACTATTAATAGGAAGCGCCGAAAAACTGCTATTTTGACGGACACACCAGAAAAAGAAAATCTACGTAAAGAACAAGAAACCTTGAGTAAGAAAAAGGCTAAAGGTGTAAACAAGAAAAGCAAAGCAACTAAAAGAGTTGAGAAAGTAAAAAAAGCTATTTTACAAGAGGTTAATAGTGATTCCAGCTCTGACGATGAATGCTTCTGTTTGATTTGCTGCGAGAAGTACAGTGACAGTGTTCCAGGCGAAGGTTGGATTCAATGCAATCTTTGCAAACAATGGGCCCATGAAAAATGTATCTCAAACAGAGGTAGCATTTACTTTGTTTGTATTAACTGTGATTCAGAAAACGATGAGTCTGATTAAGATAATATAGAGATACCAAGACATGTTGATTATGTTAATTTGTTGAAGTTAATAATTAAAGAAGAGTTTAATTTTTGTGTTACGGTTAAAGAAGTATATTTTGTTTTATAAAAAATTGTCTGTTAAAAGTTTTTAAAAGATTATGTAAGATTAGTTATAAGATTTTAAATTCAGGCTATGTCAACATTCATAATGAATAGTGCTGTCTTGTTTAATTGTATTCTTCAATAGAGACTGATTAGTGATTAAACTATTATAAGCTCAACAAAGTTAGAAATTATTAGTTCGACTGTTACTGTTGTAATACATTTAGAAAAAAATAAATGTTGTTTGGTAAAAAAATATTTACTTTTAGAATAGAGACTTTTTAAATATGTATCTTGGAATTATAATAATATTTTGGTTTGTTTAAAAATTAAAATATTTTTAACTTTCTGTTTTTGGAAAAAAATAAACGACTGAATTTTATTGAACCAAATATTGTTTTAGTTCCATAAAATCGATTTTAAATAAAAATTAAATACTGGACCTTTTTGCCTCCTGCCTGTCCCTTTTTACCCCTACTATGGGGCAAAAAGGGACAGACGACAAGGTCTAAAAAAAGTTGTAGAAACACATATTTCTATTATAATAATTCAACTGAAAATTGAGTCAAACATACTCAGATAACTGTTTGTTTGATTAGTGTTATTTATTTTGATATAGTAGAGTCAGTTTTCACAGTATTATTCGAAATAGTCAAATTGGACCTTTAAGCCCCGCCCTACCCTACTATAGACTGTCGGCTAGGCATTCGACTTTTTTGAGATCCTTTAGGGTAAGGTCGGGGTGGTCTAGCCTCACGAGAGGTGGATGGTTAAGTTACCAATGGGTAAGAATTTATCTGCTATAAAAGCTCTCGTTGTGCTCCAGAAAGTGTCTTGAGTTAGTTCAATTCCTTCTAAGAGTTTTTCCCAGCTATCATTTCTAAATTCAGCTACTCGTTGTTTAATCTCATTTTGTAGAGAAGGTATCAAAAGTTCGTTATTCTTCGTGCAATAACAATCATAATAATTAAGTGCGGAACTCTTGGCTCTAATCTGTTGTCGAACATCTGCCGGAAGCGAACCTTACGGGAGCATTCATTGACTGCTGAAGTGAGGTGAGTCGATTCCTTTGGCGAGCTTACACTTTCCGGTATAGTGTCTAAGTGCTGCGAGTTCGTAGACTTGAGTTTAACCTCAAGTTTACGCCAGTTGGTGATGGTTTTGATCTGAGGGACCTCACCTGCCGACCGCCACAGTTGTAAAACAACCGGCTTGTGGTCCGAGTATAGTTCGGTAAATGTATCAATCGAGTTAATAGTAAACGCTACGTCAAGGACGTCCGGGTATTATTTTTCAGGATAAGGATAGCATGTTGGACTCTCGGGAGTGGTAAAGTCGAAGTTATGTCTCTCGATGGGGTCGCTTAGAATGTTTCTATTAGGATTGTTAACCATAGAATTCCAACTACCATGTTGCTATTTAAGTCTCCCGCGATTAATACGTCTAGATTTAGTAGAGCCAATATGTCGGTATCTAGTAGTATATTTTTTAAAGGTGGTTGATATGCCGATGGAATAGTTATGTGTGGATGGCCTGTAAGTGCAATCTTACAGACCAACACTTCTAAGTTATTAAGCGGCAGAGTATCTATCGGTACATATTGCAAGGACCTTTTGTAGTAGATCAATGTCCTTTAGGTCCGGTCAACCTATAATTTCTTACTAAGGTATAATTAGCTATTTTGGGATCGTGAAAAGTAGGTTTCAAGAAGGCCTCTTGCATGCAAGAGGCCTTCATGCATTGCATTGTATGATCGCGTAAAAAGTACACTTTTAAAATTTGTAAAAAGTACGCAATAAAGAACGCGACAGTCATAGCTAGGCTTGGTTCTACCTGAATGTTATATTGCCATTATGGTTTGGGATGGGTCGGCTTAGGCGCATTGGAAGGAGCTTATTGCGTGGACAAGTTTGATGGGCACAATGGTGGCATTGAACTTATCCTGAGCGGACTTGGATTCGCGAAATTTGCGAGCCAATGAATTGACTTTAGCCTCATTTATGTTGCTGACGAAGCTGCAGACTAACGAGAAGTCAGCAGCGAAGTTTGAAAGCCTGAGGGGCAGGTTGGGGCTTCTGAGTCTGGAGAGAGGGCGCTGGCCGTGAGGTGGCCACGTTTACAATCTGCTGAAGGCACCGTAGGGCTTAGGTCTTGCCCCGAAGTCCCTATAACGAGGGCGGACGGATTTGGTGATAGCCTGAGGAGGCGCAGGTAGAGACAGCGAGGCCACTGCTGTCACTTCTGTTGAAGGGGCAGAATGCCGTGGGCGTGACCTGCTTGTGCTAACCGCTCGTCCACGCTGGTTTATTCTTCCACGCGTTTCCTGCGGAGCGCTTTGGTAAACCAACGATAATTCGCTGGTTGTGCCTGTTCAACGTATAGAACACAGCTCAGAGGGCCTTCTGACTCGGGTGTTCAGGTGCACTCGGGTGTGCCGTGATCGCCTACTTAACGCACCTAGGCCAGGCGAAACAATTTCTGGCCGAGTGGCCGTATAGTTGGCATCGGTAGCATTGGCCAACCATGCTCCTGTTACGACGTTAGAAGATGAAGGGGCTGAGTGAGGCTCGTCTCCCTTTTTCGCAGCGGCGTGCTTACGGTTTTTGGAAGAGACGAGGGTGAAACTGTCGTCTTCAAGATTGGTGGATCTATTCGCGTCGGTTTCCATCTCGGAGCCCAAGTTTGCATCCGAAAACATTGGCGAGGGCCCGCGGGTGCAGACCATTGAAGGTGCGGGGGACGGGGCGTCATATAAAGTGTCTATGGACACGGGGTTGCAGGACCGGTACTCGGCGACAAAGGGTCGTCGATACACAATAATAGACGTTTAGCAACGGGCGTGTTGCGCTGCGATAAGAAAGTAACCCAAACGTCAGACGCGACTTAAAAAGTCGGTGATTTCAGCTATAGAGATAGCAGCCATCTTTTTAGTGAATTAAATAAATAAAAACATTTGTATATCAAGCCCCCCGCCTTGCGGCAGGGGGAGGTGTGTGACTGTGTGCGAACATTTATACAACCAGCGCGTTGGTACGTTAGGGTGTGTACCTAGCTGTCGCTTAATGCGACAAGCGAATACAGTAATTAAACAACAGAATTGCCTCTGAGGCAGCGAGTGTACAATAAACTAATTACAGTTTAGTGAAAATCGCCAGAATGGGTGATACTACAGAAAGGAGACAATGGGCCGGCGGTCCAATGCACCTGGCAGCTGTTATGTCGCACAATACCCCTGAAGCACTTCCGCGAACTGGTAATTGTCTTCTTCCTTGGTAACACTGTGATTCGAGAGCGCATGAGCTCGATCAATGAATGGTACTTCAATGACCCGATTAGACTGAAACTTGGTATATATATTAACAATGAGTAACTCAACTAGCGCCTACCTGGATGTGTAAACTCACCCTCGCTAAACCTACCATTCCGCGAACTTTTTGATTTCCCCTCGTACTAAGCAGTATTTTACTGTCATACTTTGTTAGGAGATTTTAAATGCTTATTTTAAATTCTAAAGTTGTATGCTTTATTGTCTTTCTTGTCTATTTAATGTAAGATGTTTTTGAACTGTATTATGTTAAGTTAAGAAATAAATATCGTATATTAATACGATTTTTAGGCTTGAGAACTGATATTTCTTGGAAAATTATATACTCGAAAAGTGTATTCTATAAAAAAAAGGCTCGGAAAATTTGCGCGTACATGAAATACTCACTTGAATTTTTTAAACAAGACACTGTTTTATGCAGTCGATATAAAAAATTATAACTTAATAGCTTGGAAAAAAAATTGACGTTTGAGATCTCGTTTTTTTAAGTGGTAATATACAATGTTTTAGATAATACGAAAGCAATGTTACTGAATAAGATACTAAATGACAATTTTTTATTTTTTATATACTAAATGTCTGATAGTAAGCAAAATTTTTGAAATAATGGAACTGTTTGTCCAACGGGATATCGCACGCCTACTTTGTGCTGAACAAATACGCATGCAGTGGAGAAGACACCGCTAAAATCCTTATAAGGTAGGCAATCTCGCCTTAATCTTGAATTATTACTTAATTATATAATAGTAAAGTAAAATTAAAAGATAAGGTTTAGTATCTTTTAAATAGGAAAATATTGATTTTTTGTGCAAGGTGGGTGAAAATTAGGAGACACACAAAAATCACTGAGATTCTGTCCTTAATAATTGCAGGTGCCGTAGACCAATTGCGCATAATCGCTTTAGAGTTCACTATCGCGTTTCTGAAATGATTGATTCCGCGATCACACTTTAATATTCAATAAGAGAAATGAATTACATCCTAGGTTAATTCGGTTTATTCAAACTAAAAAAAACTTTCAATGCTATAATACTAGGACGAGGCGATTAACAATATCTAGAGGAGAAATAGTACGGTTCGTCGCCTTAAGATATGGTTGCGTATTGTTGCATCAATAAGTTTGTATGTTTTCTATTCTACGCATAAACGTTTTACTAACTTTATAGAGATCATTGAGTGAGCGTGTGAGCTTAAAATCAGTCAGAGTTATCTATCTATAGTAAGTGACAGAATTGTTACCCCGTTTAGTACAGACAAAGAGAATGCTAATATATTTAGATGGCAGGGTGAAACGGGAAAACATTTTTGCTGACATCTATTTGAGGAGATAAGGAAAGCCGCTACCCTACTGGGTGGGGTCGTTCCACACATTCCGTGTTAAAATTACCACTGAATGATGCTCAGCATGAATCATCCATCTGTAAATTTGGTATAGCGTACTATGGATAATAAAGGCTGTTTATCACTGACTGGGGTTTCTTAATTTCGTTCAGATTATTGTGAAGCTAATTAGCATTTACCCAGACTTGCAAAGTAATTTAAATGACGATTAATAGTTTTGTTAAAAGCCATTACATGCCAAAATTATT